AGAGAGAGAGAGAGAGAGAGAGAGAGAGAGAGAGAGAGAGAGAGAGAGAAACAGCTCCCTTTTCCATCACAGAAATGAAGTCCACAGGCCCGGGGTTTTTCATCAGAATCATAGCCTCAAGAGGAGACTACTATTTTAAACCAGGGGAAAATGGAGGCAGCGAACAGTGAGGCCTGAAAATGCCTCAAAAACAGGAGGAAAACCTATGAGCAGAACCACGCTCCAAGATCCCATTTCCCTCCTCTATCAATCCACACTCCCAATAGGGCTCCCTCTAAACATATCATTTTTCCAAATTTTCTGCACTGTCAGTGGCTTTAGTCTTTCTATGACAATTAATCAAAGCTCCTCAAAATGGCCCACTGCAGCCTGGCACTTCATTTCCCATTTATTTATTTATTTATTTATTTATTTTGGCTGGGATTCCAACACTCACGATCCCTTAAAAACCACTTCATCACACCCTAGAGCTGACCATACATATCGAACTTGTCACTTTGAACATTGCCATTTAACTGATTTCCATTTAATGTCTTCCAACTTTTCCATACCCCAAAGTCGCACTCTACCAGTTTAAGCAGAGGATGTCCTGAAACTCTCACTGAGGCGCATGGGCACTGAAGCATGCATGGCCTTGTTCTACTCACTCAAACATTTCCAGTCTCCCTCCTTCAGCAGGCCGCAGGCTGCTACAGAGCCCAGCCCAGTCCTTTGTCACCTAGCATGCTACCACCCATCAACACACTGTACTGAAAGAGATCTCTGATGAGATGCCTTTCTTTTATCCACCAATAGCAAATCGTGATTTCCCATGACCGGACGTAACAGCAAATCGAGATTTCTCACGTCCGGACTTCCTCAAAAATCCCTATGTTGGTTTTCACAAAGTCATTTACTTCAAGGAAGAGACAAAGCATACTAGGAAAAGGTCCATTTACCCATGACTAAATTTAGAATTCAGACAGAGGTGTAGCAGGTCACTACATGCCAAAGACAGACAACTGCTCTTCCTAGAAGCCTGTTCCAGGAACCACAGAAGCATCTTAGGGAACCAAAGGTGCATGACAAAGAGAACTCTCGTCCAGATGTGAAGAAAAGTTCACAAAATGATTGGTCCTGTGACTGCTGGTGACACACAATTCATTCGTAGAACAGACTCCTATCTATGTTTTCTGTAATTGTCTCCCTCATGGCTTGCTGTCTGATAAAAACCTGAGAAAAATAGAATCTATCATGATTACCTGTGGCTTCTGTCTCCAATGAAGATGGATGCAAGTCAGTCAGGGCATTTATGAGAGCATCTAATCTTCAGTTCCTCTGCCTTTCCCATCACTCACTATCTGCAGCTATGGACCATGGGTACATCTTCCTCTGCTGAACACCCCCACCACGGTGCCACCTACCTGCTTCTATAGTGTACACTACAACTGTGCACAAACATCGTGCTTCCAGCTTAACTACTCTCTTCCACTTGAACTTCAGACCTTGCACTGCCATGCACACCAATCCCCCCCTCACGGTCGCTAAGTATTTACAGGGATCTTATGAAGAGGAGGAGACATTTCAGACACCAAGGAACCAAACTCATTTCTTCTCACTGCTCAGGACACAAAGCTTACGGATATTCCTAACTTCTCTTCCTCATCCCACACTCCAACAGCATGTCTGCTAACTCACCCTGCAAAACACATCTCCCAACCCAAATCACTTCATTTCTCCTACTAGCCACCTTGTCCCTGCCACGGTGACCTCCCTTCTAACAACCTCCCAAAGGTTCCTTCTGCCTCCTCCCTAATCTCAGGACAGTCACCCGTGACCCTTTGCAAGCATATGCCAGATGCCCCCGCCTGGTCTGCTGGCGTCCTTCCTCGGTTTCTCCTTTAACCAGAGCCAACTCAGTGTCGACACACTGGCCTGGTAGGTCCTCGCATCTGCCTGACCCCAGCCAACACTCTCCACTGCTCTCAGCACCCCTCGTTCTTCTGCAGAACTGCAATGACCCCAAACACCTCCCTGGGCATCTTAGGGGGTCTGCCTCCCCCATTTTCCAGGGCTCCACTGGAATGAC